GACATGTCGATACGTAGACGAGTTGAGATGTAGACACGATAAGACAAATATACATGTCGATATGTAGACATGTTAAGACAAATGGACATGTCGATACGTAGACGAGTTGAGATGTAGACACGATTAGACAAATAGACATGTCGATATGTAGACGAGTTGATATGTAGACACGATTAGACAAATATAAATGTCGATACGTAGACATGTTGAGACAAATAGACATGTCGATATGTAGACGAGTTGATATGTAGACACGATTAGACAAATAGACATGTCGATACGTAGACGAGTTGAGATGTTGACACGATTAGACAAATAGACATGTCGATACGTAGACGAGTTGAGATGTAGACACGATTAAACAAATAGACATGTCGATACGTAGACAAGTTGACTAAACACCTTTAGAGGTAACCTAAGATCAGCCATCCTCAGAATCACCAAGCAATAGAATTTCAAAGACTTATAATAAAATTATAAGCAACTAATGGTATCTGGGAGAAACCTGATAATTTGCTGGATTCTGTCTATCTAAACTTTCCGACGACTGAAAACTGTAAAATCGTCATTACAATCATTTGCTCATATGCAATCTATCTACCATCTTCACCATGTCAAGCCATTACGAACTTCGTTTTATACCTTGAATACAATAGCCACGTTTCATTTATCACGAACGTTTGTAAATGCAGCGATTCGGCTGAACGAATATAGCCAATCAGAGTCCCCAACATTATGCCATAAAATTTACTGTATGTTTGTAGATGGCTGTGATTGGCTGTATTAGCTTGAAATCAAATCGCCGCATTCCGTTATGCAAGAAATGTAGTTATTGCAAGGTGAGCCTATAAATATGACGAAGTTCGTAATAGCTTGACATTGTGAAGATAGTATTCTACTTTCTATAAAAAAAATTAGAAGTTCTGATCTAAGTTCATAAAAGCTTCGAGTTTGTACAAGATTATGTTGAGAACATAATAACAGTCTTGATGAAACTTCTCGATTCAAATTATTTTATCTATTCGACTGAAAGGAATAGGATCCAGCAATATGTCCTGCAGGCTTATTCCGATTTGGTCGTATAGTGAGTGCTTAGTGCAACAAGGTAATGCTTTCATGATGTTGCAATTTTGGTTCATTTCCATCAGCACATCTAATTGGTTGGTGTTTGGTGTACGAAATGATTAACGAAATTCCTTCCTTGTATGAAGTCACCGTCCTTATTCCTTATATTTATCAGTTTACTGCAGGCTTAGAGGATAATACTCTCCGAACGTCACCAGTCTTTCTAATGACATTTCATGACGGATATTGTCGGTTTTAATGAACCGCAAAATGTCCACTTGAGGCTCTTGTGTGCATTTGTAAGTTTTTATTCCCCCAAGATGGCCGCTGGCTGTGTACAACATTTGATCCGGTATTAATCAAGAAACGAAAGTTTATATTTAGTGGAGCTTGATTATAGATAAATAGTAATTTGTGATGTGGAATTACGTATTTTACATGAATAAGTTGTAAAAATTTATCATACTTGAAGTATGATTAACTAATTTGAGGAGTAGAAAGACAATTTCACTTTTTCGAGAAAGGATAAACCAAAAATCTTGGATTCTTAGTCTTCTGGACACTGTAGGTAACTGTATGATATTTTGTCAGGGCGGAGGTTGAGAAAGGTGATAGTGATCACCAGTCTGGTTGCGAATAAGAACAGCGGTCATATATTTATTTCGGACTCAACTCGTATGCAACTGTGAGTTGTGAGTTGCTTTCAGTAGGCCAAGTCGTGACCTCTTTCATTATTCGAAGCCATATGAAAAGGTAATCGCTGTTGTATGAGGGCACGTTTAAAGTGATAATACGTCTTAGAATTAACATAAAATTGAAGAATTTTAAACTTGGCGAATAAGAGCCAGAAGATATACCTGGTGTCATAAATAACATAACATGATCCTTATATAATCCGATAAATCCAAAAAACTTAGTAATTATCCACAAATATGCAATTAACTATTGAAAAACGCTTAATATCATGATTAAGCGTTATTCAATAATTACTTAGTTTTATGAATTTTGCAGCTTTCCAGATTTTCCATGAATTCTGTTCTAACTTCTGACACCAGGTAAGGTCACTGATGAATATATACTCATATTGACCATTCTTGAGAATTAAATTTTATGTTCATTCTAAGAGCTCTAAGAGTGTAGAGTTTTTCCAGAATTTGAATTCTCTGCTAGTTGCTGTTGATGGTCAATTGTATGTCTCACAATAAGCATGTCTAATCATTGGTCTTATTCAATGATGAATGTAAATGTCACTTGAGATTATAAAACTCTCAAATATTGTGAGATAAACCGTTTACACAGATTATATGGATATCTTCTTAATTATTCTAATAGCATACATATACATGCTATCCCAGTGGAAACGATTTCAGGATTGATATTTAAAATTCAAACAATTTGTTACGCCAGTATTTCAAGAAGTTTATCACGGGAAAAAATGTTGACTCACATACGACATAATATATTCCTTGGTTTGAATTAAAAACTTCATTTTGACTATATAAAACCGAAGTGACTTTTAATGATGAAATATAATCTCTACAAAAACTGTTTAAGTATAGATTTGCGGTTGCAAATAGAAAAACTAAGCAAAACGAAACCCGAAATCCGTAACAAATTATTGACGAAATATTGGTAGCAGTTAATGAACTTATCAATCATAAGTGAGAAAGTATTTCATTCTGAAATGTGGAAATAGAGTCTTTTAAAGGTAAATTTCTAGAAGGCTATCTAGAAACTTGTAATCATATCTTGTCGTTTTATAACTATTTAATCTTAGTTAACTATATGAAATAACTTTTTCTTCCCTTCAAAGGTTAAAAGTTAATAAAATCCAATACGTTAGTTTCTGGATTGGTCTTTAAATTCAATAAATAACATAATAAGGAAATATCGCGTGGAATTGAAGGAAATTAGGTCTTGGTCTAGAACACCACATGCCAGTAAATTATTTTCCATTGTGGAAACGTTATTACATTTTGATTATTTAATAATATTAAGAAATACATGGACAAAGAAAATCTGAGACTTGTTTACATAATTATATTGACTTATGATATTTTCTTAACTACAATCTTTTTTTACCTTTTACCTCACAAATAAGGATGCTTCTTTACTGCCAAAATGTTTGCTCTGCATCTGTATTAAAACCTTTGACCCTAGTTTATCAAAATAGTTTTACCTTTTTCTGTGTCATATCCTACAAGTAGGAAAAATTGTTATAATTATGTTTTTGTATTCTAGACTTATAAGGACGTGGACTGTTATCGAACGTTCCAGTATTCCAGACGTATAAGTACCTGAACAGTTATTGAGCGTGTTGGTATTCTAGACTTATAAGGACCTGGACTGTTATCGAACGTTCCAGTATACTAGACGTGTAACAACCTGAACAGTTATTGAGCGTGTTGGTATTCTAGACGTATAAGGACCTGAACAGTTATTAAGCGTTTTGATTCTAGACGTATAAGGAGCTGAACAGTTATTGAACGTGTTGGTATTCTAAACGTATAAGTACCTGAACAGTTATTAAGCGTTTTGGTATTCTAGACTTATACGTACCTAGACTGTTATCGAACGTTTTGATTCTAGACGTGTAAGTACTTGATCAGTTATTGAACGTTCCAGCATTCTAGACGTGTAAGTACCAGTTATCGAACGTTTTGATACTCTAGACGTATAAGGCGTCGAACAGTTATTGAACGTTGTGACATTCTAGATATGTAACAGTTATCGAACGTCATGGTATTCAAGACGTATAAAAGCTTTAAATTATTTAGAGTTTATCTGTAATTTGTGAAACTTGAGGTTAATTCTGTATCCGACTTTAAGAACATACTGGACAGTATTAAGTGTTAATAGTACCAATCAAGACAGAGGTTGTCAAACATCAAACACATCAGGCCTGATTGGTTTTGACATTTTCACGTAATCCTGGGGATTTATCTGATCAAAACTGACTTAAACTAGTAGGTCTCCACTAATATAAATTCATATATTTAAGTCCAAATGATTTCCCTTTGATGAACGTCACCAATGTACTGAAAGATTATTAATATCTATTTATAAAATTATTTCAGGTTGTTCCGGACGTTGTACTATGATGATTGGTGATTGAAATCGATTGATACATGGTTACTTCAGCAACAATTCACTTCTCCGGGCACTAGGAAAAAGGAAAAACTTTATAACAGTGAAACATCACATCAAATGTTTTCAGATTGTGAAAACGATGGAATTAGTCCTATGAAAAAGATTGAAGTATAAAACGATATGTAATAACCTATATGTGTGAATTTCTAAAAAGCCAAAAATAAATTGAAGAAGGCACCTGGAAAAGGGGAGAAACTTGAATTCTTGATAACGGTGAAACATCAAACTTCAAGTGGTGTAACCAATCGACAAACGATATGTAAAAAAAAAATCGTATGTGAACAACACACATAAAAACTACAACAAATCACCTCTCCGTGCACATATAAAAGAAACAGTCTTTATAACAGTAAAACATCAAAGAACTTCAAATGGTGTAAACGATCGACTATGGAATAATTCAAATGGAATGAGATTGAATATCACAATTAACTAGCTACATGTAAAAAACTATGTGTGTGGACTTCTAGAAAGAAGAAATTGCAAATGGTTTTCAGAAGAAAAGATAGGGAATAAATGAGTAAGATCTCTTTTTGAAATGAGTTGAAGTGTTTATTTGATTTAAATGCTCTTTATCATTCAAAACAAACATCAGTTTTGATTACCGGATATGTGACATAGTGTGAATTTTCTCAATACACGCTGTTTATTACAATGATTCTATAGAATAGGATGAACTGACAATTTAAACCATCACAATGAATATCAGCAGTAATTTCAGTCTGATTTTGGATATACCAGGTAGTAACAAATTGGTGTACAGTATCGCCAACGTTCTTAATACGTATATTCTTCCAGTTATAATTCTTACAGGAATTCTTGGGAATATTGTGTCTTGTCGTGTTTTCAGAGGAAAGGAACTGAAACGATTGTCATCTAGTATCTATGTAATAGCTGTTCTAGTGTCCGATTCTGGAATTTTAATCAGCCTATTGTTTGTATGGCTGGAAGTTCTAGGCTATGATTACAACCATCATCAAGGCATGTGCCAAGTTTTGGTGTTTCTGACTTACGTGTGCAGCTTCTTGTCCGTGTGGTACATAGTTTGTATAACTGTTGAGAATTTTATTACAATATGTTACCCTACCAAAGTGACGGAAATGTGTACCAAAAAACGAGCGAAAGTTGTGGTGATTTCTTTATTCGTCGGAGCTATGTGTCTTTACAGTTTATCTCTTAGAAGTACGGAAGTGAGGACCGATAAGAACACAAACAAGGCTGAATGTGTTCGAAATCCTGAGTACCACGTCATGTTTTCTGTGCTCACGTATGCAGATTCTGTTATAACGTTAGTGATACCCTTGACTGCTATTGCGTTAATGCTTGCAACAATGGCCGTAGCTATTGCTAAAACATTCCGTTGGAAGAAATTGAGTCCAACTCGTGAAACATCTAGAAAGGATTTTGTATTTAATAGTCCTCAAGTTCGTGTGGCGAAGATGCTATTCGCATTATCTGTTTCCTTTTTAATCATGAATGCTCCAATACACATTATTAGGTTACATTATCTGCTGCGATCAATTGCATTAGGCGAATCTCCGGCCGTATCGTATAATGAAGGTTTAATCCAGCTTATATTACTGTTTATATCTTACGCTAATTGTTCAATCAAATTCTTCCTTTTCTTAAGTTTTAGTAAGAACTTTCGGAAGTCAATAAGACAGTCATACCATGGTAAATTACCAGGTTGTTATAGAACACCGGAACAGACATTTGTTTAAAAGACACCAATTTATAAACTTTTAGATATTTGAGAATAGCTTCCAAGAACTTTTAGAGGGTATCATATTTTCGTTACACTACTAATTTCTTTTAATTTTTTAACGACATCGAACTCAAAACGGAACGAATGTTTAGAGAATCTTCGATCTTTTTAATACTACTTTTTATACATCTGAGGTATGTTCAAACGAGCAGCTAACGAAGCATCAACACGTCGTGGATCAAGGGTCAGATATTGTGGAGACAAATCATTTAATCATAATCTTTACTAGTCTTACTATGTAAATCGAATGCCCAGTTCGTCCATCATGTGATAATTAAACAGTCATGAAAGACCGACGCAACCGACGAAACAAGCCAGCATATATGACAGTGAGCACCTATTGATCTCGAGTGTAGGAGTATAAATATGAATTTTTTAAATACCTTAAATATGTGCTAATTACTTGTTGTAGCTCTGTTGTTGTCATTATGACTGATACAAGTTCACTGACTTGTAATTAAAAAGATTGTTCAAATAACAAAATAGTCCATTAACTTTTCCCTTGCCTTCCTAAATTGATTTTGATAAGATTACAGCTGAGGGCATCACAAGATGTTTTTACTTTCACAGATATCGTATGACATCGAAATTGCTGCGGCAAGTATTGCTCGAATACTTTAACTGAAAATTCCATTTGCAGAAAAGTTGTTCGTTTGAGGTCTTGAACATGTCTGCAAACTTGAACATGGATTCTAAGGGCTACAGAGAATTGGGTTTTGCAGTCTTCTGTGGTTGGTTGGTCAGATTGAGCAAGCCAATGTGTGTATTACAACAATTCTCAGATTAATATTCTTGATGTTATGTCAGATGATAAAGCATCTTTTAACAGCACTCCTTTTTTCGAAAATGAACATTTTGATGTACATGCATCAGTTTTATCTCAAATTTGAAATGTAAAGTATCATGGACAAACTATCTCTTTAAATTTCCACCTTTTCACTGACAGAGCTGACATAAGATAAACGATTTAAACGACATTTAGAAGCGAAGAGCACAGCAAACAACTGGCATCAATTATTTATATAGTGCTAATTATCTCTTTTACCAATATCTTTATATTCTACATTTACTCTAATATTTAATATTCTGTTTGACAATATACTGAAATGATATAATTCACTATGATAGTCCATTAACAGTATACAGCATCGTCATAATATCAAGGTATTATACACCTCTAATACTTTCCTTTGATTGTCTGTATTTAAATTACAACTTTTAATGATACAAGTCTGTGAAATTTATCGCTCCACAAAGGTCATAGTTAAGCCGCGAAAAGACGAGTAACGGGTGCGAACACGATGCAGACACGATTCGCTTCTATTTTCTATGATCCCGCACCTTACACTGCTCTCGATAACGTGCCTAGTCTCGAGCCTTTAATTGCGACGATAAGAAGACAGGACATAAACCAGAGGAATAGGCAGAGGCAAAGCTCTTCAAGTTCGCACACGCAAAACTGTTCATCTCGCGGTACCCATTCGCAACAGGAGCAAAATGAAGTATTTCCCCAGTATTCGCTACCTTTCTCTCAATAATCCTTTGTTTTGACTTCTTTTGGGTTGAATGGTTCTTTGAACTGAACCCGAATATTCCCATTGAGCTATCGTTGGTTAAAATCTCATTTTCCAATCGAATATTAGTATTTATCAACTGAGTTCAAATTCAACCCGAAAGAGGATCATTGTGCTACTTGATCTAATCTTGCGGCATAATCTGAACCTTTAAGTTTCGTTATAGTCTAAACTACTTGAATCTTACATCGTTTTTGGATTTAATGGAGGTTATCTGGTTTTTTAAATCGAAAGGTCAGAGGCCTTTCATTTTCAGTTTATAGTAATCATTTATAAAATGTCATAATTGCCTCATTCAACAAGGTACAGTTTGAGTTATAATTCGTTGTAATCCCAACTATCCTGACTAATCTAAATGAGTTTCGTTTAAGTTGGTTTGTTATTTGCGGAAGACACCACGCCGACTAGTATGTGATATCAGCATCTGCTGCAAACGGACATTAAACTTCCGGAATCTTAATGTTTTCTTCAGACTACCTCACAAAATTTTACGATATTTCCATCGACCTATATATTGCACTACATCTTCAAAATGTCAAGCTATTACGAACCTTGACAGCAATAGCTACCTTTCCTTCCGGAATGCAGCGATTTAATTGGATTGTACGCTAGCTAACACAGCAAATCAGATCCGTCGACATAAAGACTGTAAACAGTATGGCTTAAGGTTTACAGATTTTCTATCGAGGGCTGTCTTTGCGCATCATCCAATTAAATCGCTCCATGATATCGGATTGGTGACTATTGCAGTCAGGGAATACGACGAAGTTCGTAATAGCTTGACATTGTGAAGATAATCTGCACTGATACGTATATAACTTATAATGTCACCAATTACGAAAACAATTTCCAGCAGACGATATAAAATTGTAAATACATTCAGCCTACTCTCAAATTATTAAGCACAATAAAACAATCAACAACTGTAGCCTGGAGGGGTGCAATTACCATTTAGGTTGGAATAGGTCTGGAATTCATCAAGGTCTGGTCAATTAATGTCTACTTTTCTGAGTATCTGATTCACATTCTTATGCTAATTGAAATATCAAATTATCACCAATTACAAATTCAAATTGATACAAATTCAACGACACAAAGTTACAGAACACAAATTGTTCCTCCAAATATGGGTCATTTTCGACATCACAGAAAAATGTGGCTATATCAGGTACAGTTTTTTGGAGCTTTGTGTAACTAATATGACTGTTTATTATTTAATATTTTTAAAAATATTATTTGGCTACATTGGAAGCATATTAAAGGGCTTGTAAAGAAGCTAAATATGTTATGTGTATCAGGGACACTGATAGCATCAATTTTCACAATTTCAATTTTCAATCAGACTGTGGTTATTGCAATTCCACTAAAACTAAGGGTTTGATGGCATCACTAATAGCAAATTTTTTTACTGATAACATCATTTGCACCATTCCAAGTTTTTGTCAAGCGTAAATTATGTGTCTCTGTGTATAAGATAGCATTTAAAGACATACCACAAAGGCCCAGAGATATTATCAGCAGCTTTTGCAATAGAGGCCACATAAAACGCTTAATTTCATGGATTTGTCTAATAAGGTGTTCTACTCGTTTGATAAAACTCATATACGTACATAAACAACAACTACTAGACTTAAATCGGTATAGAAGTATGAAAATATAGCGGTAATTGGTTCTTTGAAAATATAATGATGCGCTTCTATTGTCGTTTCAACAAGAGTTACCTTGGAGTAAAGAATATAACAAGATGTTTGGGGCTATATTAATATGTCTGTATAGTTTATAATAGAGTATCAAATTACCCTCGGGGATTGTGACATAGATAGAATTTAACCATTACCATAATGTACCTACAGGCAAGGGTATTCATGTGTCATCCGCACATTTCTAGCGAGAATAGAAACTTTCTGAAAGTTTGAACACGATTAGTTAATTAAGTTATTAACCTTCATATTATTCATCTATTCAATAAGAAATCGGTCAATAAAACGCAGGAACATAAGGACCGCGTTCAATTTACTACAGATTTGTCTTTACCACAGAACTATTTGATATACTAAATGGCATTTTATGTTGTAGTAAACATTCATCTTATTCCACTCAAACACTTCATAACAATGTTTCTTTGATTATAAAATATGAAAGGTTACAATAAACCATGTACTAACAATCCAACCCGCAAAACGAAACAACAACATATTGGATAGTCGCAGAAAATGAACTTCTGATTATATCAATTAAAAGCAAGTATAAGTAAGTAACAATTCTACAGAGGTTAAAAGTTTCACGTTGCAACAACTCTACTGAGGTTAAAGGTTTCAAGCAGGAACAACTATACCTAGGTTAATGGTTTCAAGTAGGAACAACTATACCTAGGTTAAAGGTTACAAGAAGGAACGCATGGAAATAACACGCACGAACGTAGTTCACCACCGTTTTAATAGGTCGAATTGTTAGAAAAGGCTATAATATTATTTCAAGCCTTCATCTCACATTAAAGGTTTAGAAATGGCTGTAAATGTTAGACGAAGGCTTTGTTGAAATATTATAACCTTTTAAAAAATTCCACTTAAGTCGAGGAAGAGATCCAAAATGCTTGTGAACTATTCGTGTGTTTTATAACAATACGTAGGTTCATGTGTATACAGGTCGTGATATACTGTTACATGGGTAAGATACTTTTCAAGATTGTGCAGTTTCATACCAATTTCTTTGAATATTTTGTGATCATTATATCAAACTCGATTCTTTCTCAATCTTGATACACCGTAATAAATGTAACGAAATATTTCACCCAGCGTAGTATTCCAATTATCAATAACATCAAGAGTTTTAGGCATTCTGTGTTGATCTCTTTTACTCCAGACATGCACAGCATACTTAGTTCTCCACTTAAATCCCGTTTTCACAAATAACAGATCATCTTGCCACCAACCAGGACGGTAGAAGTTCTCCGATTCTAGATGAAGGGAGGATGTATCATTTTTCCATAGATAATACGCTGTTTTTAACGAATTGGCATAATAGTTTGAATTATTAAAGTGTTTGTAATTGTCGTACATCTTCTGTAAGAATGGTGATCGTCTTTCAGCCACAATAACAGCATTGCCCATACCAGTATTAACATCTACTAATCCCATTGTTATATTGTAATTTCGTAGAGGATTAAACGACTGAATGAAGATCTCATCTGTATCCATATAAATACCCCCATTGGCTGAAACATAAGATAGGAATTACCAGAATGAATTATGTAGATGATCAAGTTCAGTTGGGGGCCAGGGACTTATGGAACTTTTCATTAATCTTATCAATCAAACGTCCCAATCGTCTGAAACATTAGACGTGGCATGCCTGAAGAATGAACACAAGTATTTATTTGCTAATATAAAGTGTGTATTACTATACTATAGCCTTTCAACTGTTAATAAGATGGTAATCTCTAGTATTTAAGGGGCGTTATGTTTATTTCGTAGGTCAAAAACATTTTTGCTCAAATATTCGAAAACCATGCACCGAAATCGGAAGAAATGTGTCCAATTTACTTATCTGAAAGTTTTAATTATACCAACCCTGCCTATAAATTTGAACGTCAAAACTATTTAAAAGTTTTAACTTTCTATGTTCGTTATGATTTTTGTTAGGTGTTAAAAAAACTACTATACAGAGTTAAACAAAACACACGCGCCTTATTGTAGAGAAATAGGATGGATTCTAAAGGTTTCAAATAAAAATATCAAAAACACCAAAACTAGTTTTTGATTAACCCTTTTATAACAAATTCAGTTTGATCAAGTAGGTACATAGATGAAATTAGCATATTTAAGAAGGAATGATTTACGATATTTTGTATACTGTCCCTTTAAATTATATATTGTATCTAAAGTTACAAATAATTGATTGAGTATATAGAGATAACATGCTCTGCATGTGTGACCATTCGGTATTTCAAACAAACGTTATCTCTTACTCGATAAATTTGTACATTTACCTAACACAGCTGACACAGTCAAAACCAATGGTTTTGTTCCATTTTGTGAACCAAAAATCATAATTTATGTATGTTAGAAATGAAGTGGGGGATTGTGGGTATGGGAGGGGGGGGGGGGGCAGATCAGATTTGTTTAGTACAAAGTGTTGATAGGTAGACGACCCCCAGACTTATTTTGCATCATGGATGACTTACTTTCACATACCTACGTGTCAATTTCGAGTTTCCGCTTCTAATTTCATTTTGTTTTTAAGAGCTTCTAGACGCTAAACATACTACTTACCCAATAATATTTGCACCCGTACAATATCAGACAAATGTGCTGGCCATCTTGCAAATTGTCTTGAAATATACTCGGGCTTTTGTCGATATATAATTCTTAATTCTGGTACGTCTTTCAACAGTTTCTCCCAATACAGACCAGTTGGCATCACATCACCTACTATATAGATAAACTGTGGTTTCTGGATCTTTTTGGCACTGAGTATACAGAGGTAATGTTCTACAAGAAACTTATATTCTGTAAACGTCACATAAAACACAATATTTGGCACTTTGTACCCATCTTTCGGGAGACGACAAGGAGAGTGGTCTGTGATATTATTTTGAGTAAGGAACCAACGACATAAAATATCTGACGATTTTGAAAGTTCATCACAAAATATATGACGTGGTAAAGTTGCTACTGACGGATCAAATCGCATCCAGTCATCTATAATACAACTTTTCTTTCCATCATCTCGCTGTCTGGAAATTGGTTTTGTTGGTGCGATTAAACTAAAATTTGAAGATATTTCATGCAGAAACGTTAGCCCGTCTTTAACCTGTTTGTTTGATTTTTCCAAAAAAGACAAAGTCTGTAAAAACACTACTACCACGATAAATAGCACAATACTGAAAACAGTGGCGTAACGATTGTACGTCTTCATTTTCCGATTACGTTATTACTGTATCAATGCTGTGTGGCATAGAGTTAATTTCATATACTAAACCGTTAATTTTGCCTAGGCATCAATAAAATCCATGCGGTATGCAATATTTTCTTTACATGCGATTTATCACAATACAATTTCCTTAAGTGTTTGTCACTTATGAATATGTCTTAGTAACAACAATGGTGTTTGGCAACACATGTTGTCTTGCAATAAATTCAAAATAAAACCAAATCGTTACTGGTCACAGATGGACGCTACAGATCTAGAAATGTAATAAGTAGGTCAAGGTAGGATTTAAATCCCCGACTCGCCGAATTTCTGGGTTTACCCACCTCAAGTCCAGCAGTTACTCAGAATGATACAAACCAATCACGTATTTTTGGATATCCTGGTTTCAGCTCGGGACACAGGATTTCTAAAAAATAAAGTTTGCGTCTCCAGTGTGAAATCTTTTTTTTTTAACATTTGCTCTCCTGCATTCTGTGTTGCACTCCCCGTAATGCTTTTATCAACGATAAAAAGAACATCGCCCAGCCTTGAGAGATTGCAAAATAATAACAAGGAAGTATTGTGATTAAACTATATATTAACAAAAACATTGAATATAATAACACATTGCACTGCCTCCCAATAAATAATAAGTTACTTATATAAACTATTATAGCCTAATAACCAGTCTTCCATCCATTCATAACATATACAATTTACACATATCGTAATATACAGGGCTTTGTTGGTGGAAAATTTGTTAAACGTTAATCAGAGGCCAGTTGTTAATAAATGTGTGTAGAAAGAGATAATTCATGGATTAAACAGGCCCTGCAACGCGCTAAAAAACGGTTGTCTCAATTGACCCACAATGACTACGGCAACAATTGATCCTATGGGCCATATGCAGGGCTCGTACTTTACCTAAACTTTGACTAAAGTTAGACTAGTAGTCGAACTGAAGGTATGCATCGGTCGACCTTTACGAAAGTCGTCATTAAATTTGACTATCAAATGTAGAAAATGAAAGCCTTAATCTTAACTTTGTAAAGTTCGACTTTAGCCAAAATTCAACTTTAGTCAAGGTAAGAGCGCTGCATACGGCCCTAAGAATTTTTGAAGAACGGGAGCTAAGATGTTTTAGCACGCCATGAGATAATTCAGAACCTCTTTTCATCAATAAATTTTCTAATAAAACATTAAGTATTTCATTATATTACACCAATCTTAAAAGCACATCTTTACAATTAGTTCATCCAGAAATATTTAATGGAAAAATGGCTGCAAACTTTTCAACAACAGGTCCCTCATTCAAGGGTAATTTAGTCTATAAAGATAACAACGGTATTTTTTCTATATGAGTTATCTGGTCCGATGTTATCTTATCTTATTCATAATCAATTTATCACCATTCAAAAGTTGTTGTCCTTACTTTTAATAACAAATAAGCTAATTTAGTGGCAAAAAAAAAGCGTTTTTGATATTCACTTTCGAGCACAGAAAATCTTTTTTTGAAAAAATAAATTTAGATTACCAAATGACTTTCAGGGCCATAACTACGGTCTTTTTTCTATGAGGCAAAAACACGTTGTATTCAAAGTCAGTTATTTCTTTCATCGCAACTCTTACAATAGACTTTAAATGGTTTCTATCTTACTGTAGACATCAAATAATAATTTTGTCATACTCGGCATGAACCATATGCCACAATTTTCTTGACGTAGTTACGGCTCTGAGCTTTTTATTGGATTTCTGAAAATTTACCAAACGTTAAGAATATGTTTTGATTGTCTATATTATCTCGGTGGCACCAGTATCTAGATTGGAAAAGGTGCTGAGTTCTCCCCACCACTGTCCGAGATCACTAGTAACATTACGACCCACTAGTGTAGAATCTATAGGACGTTCTTGGGGCGGTGGTGTAGAATCATCCTCTGTTCTACTCTCACTCACTTGTGGTAGTGGTAATGGTTTGGCTCCTGGAACAAAAAAAGAACCATTTATTAGAAAATAAAGTTCACCACATCCTGCTAGGAATGGTATATCCTAGATTATATGTACCCATTTATACAATAATAAAATATTTTCTCTGTTAAAATAGTGCTCAATACATTGTAGAGCGATGTAGAAATACCACTGTTACAATAGTGATCAATACATTGTAGAGCGATGTAGAAATACCACTGTTAAAATATTGCTCAATACATCAATTGTAGAGCGATATAGAAATACCACAATTAAAATAGTGCTCAATTCTTCAATTATAGAGTGATATAGAAACCACTGTTAAGATAGTACTCAATACATCAATTGTAGAGCGATATAGAAATACCACTGTTAAAATAGTGCTCAATACATCAATTGTAGAGCGATATAGAAATACCACTGTTAAAATATTGCTCAATACATCAATTGTAGAGCGATATAGAAATACCACTGTTAAAATAGTACTCAATACATCAATTGTAGAGCGATACAGAAATACCACTGTTAAAATACTGCTCAACACATCAATTGTAGAGCTTTATAGAAATACCACTGTTAAAATATTGCTCAATACATCAATTGTAGAGCGATATAGAAATACCACTGTTAAAATAGTACTCAATACATCAATTGTAGAGCGATATAGACATACCACTGTTAAAATACTGCTCAACACATCAATTGTAGAGCTTTATAGAAATACCACTGTGAAAATGGTGTTCATTACATCAATTGTAGAGCTATATAGAAATATCACTGTTAAAATAGTGCCCAATACATCAATTGTAGAGATATATAGAAATACCACTGTTAAAATATTGCTCAATACATCAATTGTACAGCGATATAGAAATACCACTGTTAAAATAGTACTCAATACATCAATTGTAGAGCGATATAGAAATACCACTGTTAAAATAGTACTCAATATATCAATTGTAGAGCGATATAGAAATACCACTGTTAAAATAGTGCTCAATACATCAATTGTAGAGGGATATAGAAATATCACTGTTAAAATAGTGCTCAATACATCAATTGTAGAGCGATATAGAAATACCACTGTTAAAATTGTGCCCAATACATCAATTGTGGAGCTTTATAGAAACCTCACTGTTAAAATAGTGCTCAATACATCAATTGTAGAGCGATATAAAAATACCACTGATAAAATAGTGCCCAATACATCAATTGTAGAGCTTTATAGGAACATCACTGTTAAAATAGTGCTCAATACATCAAGTAGAGCAATATAGAAATACCACTGTTAAAATAGTGCTCAATACATCAATTGTAGAGTGATATAGAAATATCACTGTTATAATAGTGTTCTATACATCCTTTGTAGAGCGATAGGAAATATCTCTGTTAAAACGGTGCTCAATATATCAATTACAGAGCAATTAAGAAATATCAAAACAGAGTCATGTTTCACGCTATACGATCTTCAGACAACCTTCAGACAACTGACCTATTTTCAGCCTACGTCCCAGGTTGTAAATAGGTCGGTTGTCTGAAAATCGCATAGCGTGATTGAAGTTCTGTTTTAATATTTCTGTACAATAAATAATAAAACTATAAACACATTACTTTTCAGGACTTTACCAGTTTCTCCCGGTTCAAATGCTCAAATCTTTGAGTTTCTACAGAGTATAGTGCTCAGTACATAATTGTAGAGCTTTATAGAAATACCACTGTTAAAATAGTGCTCAATACATCAAGTAGAGCAATATAGAAATACCACTGTTAAAATAGTGCTCAATATATCAATTGTTGAGCAATATTGAAATACTACTGTTAAAATAGTGCTCAATATATCAATTGTTGAGCAATATTGAAATACCACTGTTAAAATAGTGCTCAATATATCAATTGTTGAGAAATATTGAAATACTACTGTTAAAATAGTGCTTAGTACATAATTGTAGAGCTTTATAGAAATACCACTGTTAAAATAGTGCTCAGTACATAATTGTAGAGATTTATAGAAATATCACTGTTAAAATAGTGCTCAATACATCAAGTAGAGCAATATAGAAATACCACTATTAAAATAGTGCTCAATACATCAAGTAGAGCAATATAGAAATACCACTGTTCAAATAGTGCTCAATACATCAATTGTAGAGATTTATAGAAATTACACTGTTAAAATAGTGCTCAATATATCAATTGTAGAGCTATATAGAAATACCACTGTTAAAATAGTACTCAATACATCAATTGTTGAGCTATATAGAAATATCACTGTTAAAATAGTGCTCAATACATCAATTGTAGAGCTATATAGAAATATCACTGTTAAAATAGTACTCAATATATCTATTGTAGAGTGATATAGAAATATCACTGTTAAAATAGTGCTCAATACATCACTTGGAGAGTGATATAGAAATACCACTGTTAAAATAGTGCTCAAAACATCACTTGGAGAGTGATATAGAAATACCACTGTTAAAATAGTGCTCAAAACATCACTTGGAGAGTGATATAGAAATATCACTGTTAAAATAGTACTCAATATATCTATTGTAGAGTGATATAGAAATACCACTGTTAAAATAGTGCTCAATACATCACTTGGAGAGTGATATAGAAATACCACTGTTAAAATAGTGCTCAAAACATCACTTGGAGAGTGATATAGAAATACCACTGTTAAAATAGTGCTCAAAACATCACTTGGAGAGTGATATAGAAATATCACTGTTAAAATAGTGCTCAAAACATCACTTGTAGAGCGATATAGAAATATCACTGTTAAAATAGTGCTCAATACATCAATTGTAGAGATTTATAGAAATTACACTGTTAAAATAGTGCTCAATATATCAATTGTAGAGATTTATAGAAATTACACTGTTAAAATAGTGCTCAATACATCACTTGGAGAGTGATATAGAAATATCACTGTTAAAATAGTGCTCAATACATCAATTGTAGAGATTTATAGAAATTACACTGTTAAAATAGTGCTCAATACATCACTTGGAGAGTGATATAGAAATATCACTGTTAAAATAGTGCTCAATACATCAATTGTAGAGCGATATAGAAATATCACTGTTATAATAGTGTTCTATACATCCTTTGTAGAGCGATAGGAAATATCTCTGTTAAAACGGTGCTCAATATATCAATTACAGAGCAATTAAGAAATATCAAAACAGAGTCATGTTTCACGCTATACGATCTTCAGACAACCTTCAGACAACTGACCTATTTTCAGCCTACGTCCCAGGTTGTAAATAGGTCGGTTGTCTGAAAATCGCATAGCGTGATTGAAGTTCTGTTTTAATATTTCTGTACAATAAATAATAAAACTATAAACACATTACTTTTCAGGACTTTACCAGTTTCTCCCGGTTCAAATGCTCAAATCTTTGAGTTTCTACAGAGGCAGAGGGTGGAGTTCTTGAGTTTTGAAATGACTATAGTCCCATCTTGACAATTCTGTGACTCTCTCAATCGCCCCCAGCTCCGCCTCTCTCTACCAACCCATTCACAATGATTAATAACGTCACTGGTTTCATATTTTCTATCAACATGCACATTGCAGAGGCATTATAAAAGAAAAGTACCTGCTGTCATTTTGGAACTTCTCTTCCTCAGATTTGTTCTATCTTTCTCACCTCTTATTGTAGGATCACTCAATGTTGGTGTTAAAAACTTTCTGACACTGGCCGCCTATAAATAGAAATATAGGGTGACATTATCAATAGACGTCAGATAAAACAACAAAAAACATACAAATTATTTAATAACATGTGTTGACACAAAAAAAAAAAAAATCAATCCAGCTGTAAAGAGGTACGGATTATTTAGTCGGGAAAGATCAATGTGAAGATTTTTGGTCAAGGACCAGCTGGTAGATCGGATCGTAGTTAACCTGTCACAATTGGTTGGTGCATCTGAACCCGCAAATTACTATGCACAGCATTTTTCACTTTAATATGTTGAACAAAGAGAGGAACTAAGATTGGAAGACTCAACTGTTTGAGTTCATTCTAGCAAATCAAGATTGTTAATTTATCATTTTCCGAAGCGGACATTTTTACCGGTCCGTGAAGTCTATTCAATATAGACCTATTTGACAGTTCACCAGAGAACAAATAACGTCTGCTACTTCCGGTTTCAGCAGTTTGTAGATATATAATAATTTATAATAGCTGTGAAAAGAATCTAGGTCATTGTTCCAAGATTTGCCATTTTAATTTCAACTTCCTTTGATTTGAAATCTGTCATTCTGATCCAACATAGTATTAAAGAGAGTTGACTCTAAAACTCACCTGTAGAGCACTAGGTGGTTGTATAACTGGATTACGTAGCTCTACATGACCCTTTTTACGTGTTCTAGTCTGAACCAAACTCTCATCTTTATCCTCTTTATTTTCAGTTGTACCACTAGATGGTTCTGTTATAAAGAATGCTGGTTCATTGGTAGCTCTCAAGTTGGAGATGATATTTGAATGTTCTTTCTGAAAATAAATCAAAAGGTGAATCATTATAAAAAAAAAAAGTCCATTTCTAACAATTGAAAGGCCTCGTGTACGAGACGAAATATAACACAGTAAACCTAAAAAATTTTTATCGAATAAATATGTAAAAATCTCAATGAATATTAGGCATCACATCCAGACAGAAAAATCAACAAACGGCACAACACAGACACAGATAATGTTGAGGGGCAGTATCGTGTATTCAAAAACTCTATGATATGCTTACAAATAAAATGGTTAACAAAAACCGCACAGTATACACACAAATATATGGTAAGTGATCAGTCCATTGACTAACCTGTCTAATTCGTTTCAGACATTTATCTAACCAATTTCTAATGGTCTGTTTGGCTACTTCTTCCTCTATAGTATATTCTAATTCTTCTCTAGCTAATAATTCTTCTAACTGTAGAGATTTTCTGATATCAACTGACCGATATGATAACATACTACAATAAACAATAATTGATACAAAACAATTCTGTCCTATATTATTAGAGTAGTATTGTTTCTAAGAATCATAAATGGGCGACCTAATCTGTATAAAATATAAAAGACACAGATCACTGTCTATTGATGACATCAGTAGAGCAGTGACAATGATCCAGCTACTTATATGAAGGCTTATCAATCTTGGCTACGCCCCTTTAACACATAGATATATAAATATTTGCCCCCTCACGGTGAATGGCTCACTCTTTATTTGAGTTGAATATTAGTTCTTTATGTATGGTGTAATCATGCTAGGGATACTTTGGAGGTGAAAAGGTTAAAAATCAATATTTTGAACAATATTATAAAGTAATCCTACCTCAAAACATCGTGAAATGTGACATTTCCATCTTGATGTAGTTTTTCTATTTCATAACACATATGTTTAAATAATAGTCTATCTTTCTCTAAATCAACCTCTAATCTTCCTCGTAATAATCGCAGTAAAAACTTCACTCTACGAGCTGGTATAATACCCTGTTAACAATAAAATATTTCAATGCTCTTATATACATACATACTGTCTAAAGACAGCCTCTCTTACTCTCTCCAACACTGTGGTTTTGTACATTCCAAGAAGCATAAGACATTTCATGGACCTTTTGTTTAAGTCCCAAAATCCAAGCGCTTGACTTTGCCATGCTAGAAGATATGGAATAGTTAACTGTCCTTAAATATTCCAAATTGTATCACTCATGTTTTGAGGAGGTTCGTTTTGACACCATATTTAAAATTTTACCTTTCTGTTAGTATCTACTAAATTCCAGGTGTTTTGAAACTGTCTGATATCATTATAAGACAGTAGAGCATCTTCTTCATTAGAATAAAACAATGAGAAATTCTCCATAATGATGGCTGAAAGAAGGAATAACATATTCAGATGTTTTCAAAAACAACATAATCTATCACTCTCTTAAAGATGGGTTACCTTATTTTCTAGTGTCAAATTAAGCAAACCATTTCATTAATTGGTGTTTGTAATGAATTATCATGTATTCTTAATCATATCATTATGTTCTTATGGCATATAATTAAGAGCTTTACCCTATCATAAATTTCCATGTATGTATAGTCTGGATAAACAAAAAAAAAATTTTTTGACCTTTCTTGATCGTTCACTCATTGGAATTCTCCTGGTAATTCATGACTAATCTACCTAATTATGATTAAATTATTCACATGTGAGACAAACTGGTAACTTTCCAAGCCATAAGAACACCTCTACTTTCTATTCATATAAGTATTAACATTTTCATTTTCATAAGTGAAAATAAGGGAACCCATCTGTAACTGACTAAATCGAAAGGGACGCAGTTGTCAATTTTTATAACTGGACACAATCATATGCTTAACAATTACATTTCAGTGAAATACATTTTAAAATATCTTAAATGTGAACATAAGTGCAAATGCATGGCTTCTGTTGGTAGTTCAAGACAGTGAAAAATATTTCAAACCAAATTAAATTATTAACAAGTGATTGCCAGCAAGATACGCCCACTTTCCTGATACATTTTCAGTATATCAAAGGCAGTCACCTATCTGTGTCAAATCATACCAAAAATTTAATTTGTGCAAGATATTGTTGATTTAAACAAACACACATTATTTAATAAAATTCTGACATAAACTGTCACCTCTAACGCTAAGAAATTTTGATGCGTTTTTACTAAGTCATAGGCAATAACTCAAATTCCGTTGATCGAAAAATTTATAATGTGGGCGTATAAAAACAGTTATTGCTATGTGAATGGTGTGTTATAATGTTTCTAAAATTGCTATTTTTTTTAGTAGAATCATCATAAATCATGGTATGGTAAACATTATCCGGTTTCATGGAATAAGCCATGCAACAGCTAACATCTGCCGAAAATCAAAGAACGTATACAATTTAATATTGATTTGCAAGAAACCAAACTTTAGGTCAATACTGGTGAAAGACAGAATTACGTAAGTGTAATAAGACCTATAGCAACTTATTTATATTTGAACACAGCTTTATTAATTCTACGGCATATTCTAAATTAATAATCCATACAAAATTGTATTGAACCACCCTTCTTATGTATGAGTTCAATAGGAGAACGCAAAATCATCAAATTCTAAATTTCTACGGCTGTTAATATTTTTTTCATCTTTTCTACAGAAAAATTAAATATCATGAAATTTTACTTTTCATACATTATTGAAGAAGTCGTCAAACTACTTGGCATTAAGTAAGTAAGATGGTATAGCAATCTTCTACAATAGAGAAGTCCATAATATCTGAATACCAATAAGGAAATGTTACATTTATGTCTGTCACGTGACAGAACCAGATAGAACCAGATTTTGCATAACTTTACTTGTATAACATGTTGATTCTTAATAAAAACATCTTACCAACAAGTAGATTCAAAACAATGTAGGTAATTATAACATAGAACGAACAGAAGTACATCAGAGATGCTGTAAAATTTCCACAATCTGATGCCCAATAATTCTTAGATGGTGTACAGAATGGCTGGGATACCTAAAAAGGGAACATGTTGGTTAACATAACCGTGTTATCATATCATTAAATGCACTAGAATCATATCCAAGAGACAAACCAGTCTAAGTAAAGAGATTTTCCCAGAGAGGCATAAGTATATTGTAAATTATTTTTATTTAGAGTTACTGGCGATGGTTGCTGAATTTAAAAAATCATGAGCGCTGATTATGAGACACACAGAGAAAAAAAATCCATATGACACCACATATTATTACACCATATGATAACGTACAACAATAGATTTTCGTCTGAAAATATAACCTACAATTAGGGTATGTCTGATCCTGCTATCTATTAGCAATTGTTATATAACAAAGTCTACTCACGTACACAAATAAACAAATATCTTATACTTACCATACAATCATGCATGATCTTATTCCAATCTTCACCAGTTACAATACGGAATAGCAGAGCAATAGCATTAGACGCTGTTTCAAAATTAGCTTGTCTGAAATATTAAAAAATAGCGATCATATAAAAATTTAAGTGTAATAGTGGATAATCAGCCATTCAAAGTATAGAATAATCCTTAGGAGTAGCAAACCAGAAAACTGTGTTCCATTATTTAGAACAGAATGGGTTAAAGAGATTTGAAGAGAATATGCAAACCAGCTTACTACAATTTCAAAATGCATCATTGGAAAGCTCAATAGCATGAGAAAGGTTTTAAGGTGAAAAAATGTCCCCAATTTTGAATATTTTGAAATTGAATACCAAGAGTGAAAAGTACAAAAATCGACAAACCTTCCCAAATTGTAACCATATTTAACTGTACCAAATAGTATAACCCCAGCATAGGCATAGAATAACATTAATAGAAACATTCCAGTTATAATGAAGAAACTTTTAAATACAGACATCACAACTGTCTGCATCAACATCTTTAATGTAGCCTGCAGAAAATACACAGATAAATGAACACACAATGAGCGTATTTATAATCAAAACCAAAATTTGGCAAAATAACTTAGAAGTGATTGGAATTGTAAGTATGAAAATATTTAGTAAATGTATAAATTTATAGAGTTATGAACCATATCTTAGTGCCATGTGCTGGGCGTATCAATTTATGTGATTTTTCAGTTGTGGAGGTGACTATTTTACAAGACCTATCCTAGAAATATGTTATGATTTCTATGAACAACCCTACTCAAAATATTTTTATGTTTGCTTTAAGCATAACTGAAAGAACCTAATATCAATATTCAGCCATAAGAATGGATGTACTGACCAAAATAAATAATAATCTTCTATAAAATTTATCTTATACGTAGTCATTAACTACCTTAAAAAGATATCAGGATAACCTTCACTTACATGCTTTCCTGTTATCGTAAAAAATCGTAAAACTATCACAGAAAATCCCAGTTCATTACTCCATTCAATCTAAAAAATTGCAGAAAACCTCATTTTTAAATCATTCAAAGAGCTATTTGATACAGTCGATTTCTTTTTGCAGATGAATCATTCAGTTCTCTCCTATTGCTCTATAGTCCAAAACCAATTTTAACCAGCTGAAAATGAATTTTGTAATGAGGACAAAATCCCTTTTTAAAGTCATTAACGATTGAAGATAATCTCCTATTTAATTATGAAATGTCTTAAAACTTACATTTGGAATAAAATGAAGAACAATCCATAAAACACCTAGCAATGTAACAAACATATCAAATCTGTTTCTTCTACTGGTCCAATAACCCCCTGGTGATAGAGCTACCATCTTCATAAACACCTATAAATATTGACAGGAAATTAGCTTTAATTTAACATAACGTAGATCATAACAAACACCAGAGTCAGTCTTAATCAATCAGAAAATTGATATAAAATTGCAGTATGGTAATATTTGGAATATTGACAACAAATTGGCTCCTAGAAGCTGATCATATCAGAAACCACAAAGTCACTCAAAATGAGATCAAACTACTTAGTTAAAGTGTTAAATTGCATTTTATTATTTGCCATTTCGGTAGTCAAATTTTCTATGCTGAATTTTCTAAGTTATGGGGTTAATGTTAATACTTAAAATACTGAATTATAAATTCTATTTTTATCATATATGGACAATTGACTCACCTCACACAGAAACATGAGAGTAAATACCGAGGAGAAACCAGCCAATATATTAGTTTTATCACTGTCTTTCCACTGAAATATTGTTTATTTATCAATAATTATAATGTTACACATATCTTGCATTATACAAAGAAACACATGAGTTAATTATACAGAATTTTAAAACTTATGATGTATGTTCTTGCCTTGCTGGTTTGAACTGATTAAAGGACAAACATTACAATCACATTTTACATAAGTTTTAAGTAAGCAATAAGGTTTTATACATCCAACAACGTGGTCTTGGGTCACTTGGGTCTGGATTGAGTGGACTAATCATTCAAGATCATTTGATTTTCTCCTGCCCATAAAGACAAAAATGTAATGAAATGAATGGAGTTTTACGTACTGCCCATAAAGCCAAGAACACAACAAACTATCATTTGGTTAATGTAACTTGACATCATAAGATTCTAAGATCTTTGAGCAATAGAGATAAAAACAACAGATATACTTACAGGAACGAAGAGCATAGCACAATTAGCTAAAACTAGAAACACTACTGATCTTTTAAATATCAGATTCTGGGTAATATCATACATCCATGATCGGAATCCATTACCATCTATAAATAATATTAAACATCATTCAATTTCAGGGACAATATACAGAGCTTTTGATACTAAGATTTTTGTTTTGAGTGTATTTGATATTGGCTCTATCAAGAGAATCAAATGTTCCAATAAGGACCATTAGAAAATTCATCAAAAAATATTGTATAGATTCAAATATCAATAACCTAATATTATATTTTGAATATAGTAATTAATGAAAAAGTATATCACATTATAATATATAATACAATAAATGAATATCTTACCTGGTCTAGGTGGTATGTGTAATGGTTGAGCTAGTTTAATTCTACCTTTTAAATCTAACCATCTTCTTTGGTCCACTGTTAATAATGCTGTTCCCTGCAAATAAACACAATTGGTGAGTTTTGACCTTGTTGTTTCATTTGGACAGCTGATAACCGTGCCACTGGTCCAGTTTGACCCAGCAAGAGTAAGACTGTCCTGTGAAACAAAATCTGTCTTCTCTGGAATCAAGCATTGCCAATCATTGCAACTATTTGGGCACAAGATTAAAGATTGTAAGATGAAAAAGAAGATCAAAAGAAGAGAAAAGAAGTCAGTCATACCTTATTTTCTCCATAATTAGCAATCACTACACCCACAAACAAGGTTAGTCCAATCATATAACCAATAAATACAAAGAAATGGATATACAAGGCTTCCGTCTAAAATAAGAAATATACAGTTTGGCTTGTTCAATATGAAATATCAACATTTTTATATAAATTGAATGCTCTGATTCTGTTTCATTTTAAAACATACAGCCATTATCATACTAATAGGCTTTATTAGATCACAGAGGTCTTAACAATGGCAAGAATAGTCAAGCTAAGCTAATGAGGTGAAAAAATACTTACTGGACCAACCCTGTCTATAATAACATCTCTTACTTCCAGCCATCCTTCTAATGACAACACTTCAAACAATGCCAACATTGCATTACCAATGTTATCAAAATTAAAATTAGCTGGATTGGCCCTGAAAACAGAGTCACACTTTTAAATAAGACTGACCATCACTCAAAATCATGTAACTCTGGACAAATACTCAGGTTTATGTAAGTGATGACTTCTGTTAGAAATAAGTACTTGCTTTCTTGGGTAAGAAAGAAAAAAACAACCACTTTTTAAAGGATAACAACTATGGTTCATGACAATCCATTCTACCATCTGGTCCATGGCAGATCCTCTTGGATCAGATTTCTCGGATTATCCATTTACAGTTTGGTCGATTGAAATCATGGGGCAAGGTGACTTATACAAGGTCACAAGACTTTCACATGCTGACCAAGATTAGAACTACCTGTTAACTTTTACTTAATATAATCACTCACCAGACTCTCGGAACCAGGAATCCTGGATGATCATCTTCAGGTTTATCAAGTTTCATTTTAGTTACCCAAATTTTACTGAAGAAAAACCCAGTGCAATTACTCTGAAATTAAAACAATAGAAGTAAAATAAAAGAGTTCGTTTTCCACCTCTCTCCTTGCAGAAGGCAATTGAAGGCTGATTTTGTAACATTAAATCATACATAATTACATGTTGAAGCCTGCAACCGAAATAAACAAACCGTGAAAGAAAGCTTAGTCAGCTACTTGGCAATGTAATCAGTGGGTGTCTTCAAGACCTGTGCCAATCCTTTGAATCTTTTGCTGGTATCCTTCCTACTTGGTTTCAAACAAACCTTTTACTTATGACAGACACAATTTCTAGTTCTATTAATATTCCATCCGCTTTTCATAGATCAGCAGTGCAAACGCCCGCTTAACATGAACACATCATTTTTAAATATAGCAAGTTCAATAATTTGCTTTGCTTTTATAAAATGTTAAATGACTAATACCTCCTCCTCAAGGTAAGAAAAATTTGGATGCTTGTGCCGATGCTTGTGCCGATGCTTGTGCCAATGCTTCCAATAGTCAGTCTGGTGTCGGCCTAAAGCCTGACGTTAAGAGTGAACTTACCCTGGCCATTACTGTAGGATCGTTACACCTAGCTAATTTACCACCTAATAGATGTACACCATACGTAGCAAATACAAACATTAATACAATCAACAATACTGATACCTAAAATAATAATATTTTCATTGATTATTTGGTACAGTGCTTCTCAACAGGGAGGAATTGGAAGCCATGGGGATAAATCATCGGACTGGCGTGGAAATGAGACGAAATGAACTTTGACTGAAATTGACGTCTTTCCACCCAGACACTCAAAAAAATCATAAACGAACATTCAGCCTAAGGGTCAGACTAAACTGTCTCAATATGTACTCTCTCACACAATATCAGAATGCATAACTTTTTGCAATAAAAGATCATACATTATAGAAAATATTTAAGGACTTTTCCTAGACTATGAGGCATTTTAAAAGATGTTAAAAGTTAAATGCTGTGTTCAAAACATTTTTCAAGTATTCTGAATCATACTTACAAGTAAAATTTCTTTAAATCCTCTGACTAATTCATCTACAACATTTCTCATGTGTGGAACTAAACTGTAGATACGTAATGGTCGTAAACAACGTAGTATTAACAATACTTGAGCACCAGATTGAGCTTGAACTTGTGTTGGCATCCAGATCAAAAATATTAAACTAACCTAAAATATAACCAGAAAAATAATAAAGAATTGGTTACAAAGCATATTTCTTGACTTTGATTATAATTTCAATTGAAATCTAAAGTCGATTTAGCAGACACTTTCATAACAATTAAACTGAAACTGTTAAGTCTACTTACACCATAAATAAATAAGTCAAGAATTCCACCAAAATCTCGAACTACAGCCTTAGGTGTGAATAACAGACCATTGGCTAGTATCTTTAATGACATTTCAATACTCATACAGACCACAAATATATACTCTGCTATCTACAATAAAATATACTTATTCATTAACATCAAAATTATAAAACTTTGGGAGAGGCAAAAGTTCCAAAGTAGGTAAATAAATGATAGAAGAGAAAGGATCAAAAATCTATTTCTAACGTATCAAAATTACAAGAGCTGTAGGAAAATGTATATAAAGCATTACAATAAATAGGAAAACAACTCTTTTGTCTTTGTCTACTGATAAATCTTTAAATAGCATACCTGTAATTCATATTCTTTCATTATTCTTCTTCTGGAGCTTTCTAACATCATGGAGGAACATGATACGATAGTTACAAATATCATTACCCAATCTAGATAGGTTACTAGACCTAATAGTTTACTGAAAATACATATAATATAGGTTACTAGACCTAACAGTTTACTAGATAACATACATAATATAGGTTACTAGACCTACAGTTTACTAGATAATATACATAATATAGGTTACTAGACCTAACAGTTTACTAGATAACATACATAATATAGGTTACTAGACCTACAGTTTACTGAAAATATACATAATATAGGTTACTAGACCTAATAGTTTACTAGATAACATACATAATATAGGTTACTAGACCCAACAGTTTACTAGATAACATACATAATATAGGTTACTAGACCCAACAGTTTACTAGATAATATACATAATATAGGTTACTAGACCCAACAGTTTACTAGATAACATACATAATATAGGTTACTAGACCTAACAGTTTACTAGATAACATACATAATATAGGTTACTAGACCTACAGTTTACTAGATAACATACATAATATAGGTTACTAGACCCAACAGTTTACTGAAAATACATATAATATAGGTTACTAGACCTAATAGTTTACTGAAAATACATATAATATAGGTTACTAGACCTAATAGTTTACTGAAAATACATATAATATAGGTTACTAGACCTAATAGTTTACTGAAAATACATATAATATAGGTTACTAGACCTAATAGTTTACTGAAAATACATATAATATAGGTTACTAGACCTAATAGTTTACTGAAAATACATATAATATAGGTTACTAGACCTAACAGTTTACTAGATAATATACATAATATAGTTTACTAGACCTAACAGTTTACTAGATAATATACATAATATAGGTTACTAGACCTACAGTTTACTAGATAACATACATAATATAGTTTATTAGACCTAACAGTTTACTAGATAACATACATAATATAGGTTACTAGACCCAACAGTTTACTAGATAATATACATAATATAGGTTACTAGACCTAATAGTTTACTGAAAATACATATAATATAGGTTACTAGACCTAACAGTTTACTAGATAACATACATAATATAGGTTACTAGACCCAACAGTTTACTGAAAATACATATAATATAGGTTACTAGACCTAATAGTTTACTGAAAATACATATAATATAGGTTACTAGACCTAACAGTTTACTAGATAATATACATAATATAGTTTACTAGACCTAACAGTTTACTAGATAATATACATAATATAGTTTACTAGACCTAACAGTTTACTAGATAATATACATAATGTAGTTTACTAGACCTAACAGTTTACTAGATAATATACATAATATAGGTTACTAGACCTACAGTTTACTAGATAACATACATAATATAGTTTATTAGACCTAACAGTTTACTAGATAACATACATAATATAGGTTACTAGACCCAACAGTTTACTAGAAAATATACATAATATAGGTTACTAGACCTAACAGTTTACTGAAAATATACATAATATAGTTTACTAGACCTAACAGTTTACTAGAGAATATACATAATATAGTTTACTAGACCTACAGTTTACTGAAAATATACATAATATAGGTTACTAGACCTAACAGTTTACTGAAAATATACATAATATAGTTTACTAGACCTAACAGTTTACTAGAGAATATACATAATATAGTTTACTAGACATAACAGTTTACTGAAAATATACATAATATAGTTTACTAGACATAACAGTTTACTGAAAATATACATAATATAGGTTACTAGACTTAACAGTTTACTGAAAATGTACATAATATAGTTTACTAGACCTAACAGTTTACTAGAGAATATACATAATATAGTTTACTAGACCTACAGTTTACTGAAAATATACATAATATAGTTTACTAGACCTAACAGTTTACTGAAAATATACATAATATAGTTTACTAGACCTACAGTTTACTGAAAATATACATAATATAGTTCACTAGACCTAACAGTTTACTGAAAATATACATAATATAGTTTACTAGACCTAACAGTTTACTGAAAATATACATAATATAGGTTACTAGACCTAACAGTTTACTGAAAATATACATAATATAGTTTACTAGACCTAACAGTTTATTAGAAATTATACATAATATAGTTTACTAGACCTACAGTTTACTAGATAATATACATAATATAGGTTACTAGACCTAACAGTTTACTGAAAATATACATAATATAGTTTACTAGATCTAACAGTTTACTGAAAATATACATAATTTAGTTTACTAGACTTGCAGTTTACTAGAAATTATACATAATATAGTTTACTAGACCTAACAGTTTACTGAAAATATACATAATATAGTTTAGAAGACCTA